GACGCCCAGAAGAACGTCGGTGGCCATGAGACGATGATCCTCTCTAAGAACTGGTACTGCCACCAAAAGAACCCTTTGTCCTAATCCTTTTCCCTATGTTTCCTGTCATCTGCTCAAGCAACCTAGAGTGCTCTAAAAAAAATGGGCAGATTCTATGGCTCAAGCATAGCTGCATTGTTCTATGTGCAATCCCAGGGCCCAATGTAATGACAGAGACAGTCCCTGGATAAATCTCGTAGCACGGGTGACATCATCTGAGACATGAGCAGGGGTATAGCGAGAAAGGCGATAAGCTCTGCCTTATACTTTGACACGATCATGTCCGGCCTCTGAACTAATCTCTCAAACTCCATGTTAACTCCACAATCCGACTGGTTGGCAAAAACCTCCACAAAAACTCAGTACGAAACTCATCCCAACTCATCAGAGCGGCACCTGGTGGCCGAAGAGTCAACTGCTGGTCATACCAGGGCTGGGCTACTCCTTGTAGTCTAAAAGTTGCCAGCTCCACTCGCCTAACGTTGGAACACTGAAGAATCACGAACATCTTCACCAGGGTACCCAAAAACTCATGCGGATCCTCTTGGGTACTTGACCTAGAAAAAGTGAGAGGATCCATACTCAAAAAGTCGCGAAAGTAGCCGTCAAAACTGGATCTATATGGCTTCGGTGCAGACGCTGTCGTAACTAGAGCGGGGGTAGTGCTCACTGACGCGCTAGCTGAGATTGGTGGTCTACTCAAGCTGGCCATATTTCCCATGAACTAGGTCCTAGTCTGCTGTAATCCCTGAATGCTAGCCATAAGGCCGGTCAATAACTCGGAAGGTATCGGGGAAGTAGGAGCATCTGTGGTGGTAGTCGACTGACGTGTCTGTCTCGTAACTCTTCCTTCTTGTCTCCTAGCACTGCCCCTCCTTCTGGCCGGTGAAGGGACAGCTCATCCCAAAAGGTTCCCTGACGTCTCGAGAACTACAGTATCTCGTAAGGGCGTACGAATATTGCACAGAGGGTCCATATAAGAAAAACAGTAGAGTAATAACAGAATTTAACAACAAAGCAAATGGGCATAAAGGAATTTAAGAAAAACAGGTTGATTCAAATATTTCCTAAAAGGTCTTTAACAATTCTCCTGTTATAAAAGTGGGGCCCTCACCATCATAACAGAAGCCCTGTCAAAGGCCTTGCTCCAATATCCTTAGGTTCGAACCGCTCTGATACCACTTTTGTCACACCCCAACCCGGGAGCATGACCGGCACCAGGATTGGGTTACAATCCTGGTAAGCCTCGAAACGGAACAGAAAAGATAGGAAAATTTATACATAACCGGAGCGGAATCAAAATATCATGACAGAATGTTGTCTGTACAAAAATGTGTTAGGTATAACTGAGTGATACATGGAGCTTCTAGAATACAATAACAAACTAAAATATACAAGCGTGCCCGTACATCAATAAAAGTAGTGGTAGACAAACACGGTCCAGAAACAACTGTGGCTGAACAGAACAAAAATCTGAAAAATGGGGGAAAACGGGGTGACTATAAACTTAGTGAATGTCAGCACTGTCTTAAACATGCAGTGACATGCATTACAACATTTAAACGAAGTATCATCAAAAATACATATATAATCCTCTCATCTGTCAAAACATAATAGCCTCTAGTAACATAGTCAGAAAACAAAATAAATAGCTGTCATAGTATAAGAACAGATCATGTAGCATATAATGTATCGGGATCCCATACCAAAATCAGAATCACATATCTCATATCATCAGACCCAGGGCGCTCCTCACACGCTATAACGGCCAACCGTCTGGGCTCAGGGCACTCCCCATACAATACGATGGCTAACCGTCCACCGGCTGAACCCCTGGCATCCCAGAATCAAAATCAGAGTCACAAATGGACCCAGGGCGCTTCCTGTGCGACGGTGGCCAACCGCCCGACAGCAGAGCCCCTGGCGTCCTAGAATCAGAGCTAGAGTCATATGTCACATATCTTGCACTGGGATCCCGTGCCAAAGCCAGAACTAGAATCACATATCAGAATAACAGAAAACTCCCGACAGTGTAATTTATCAGAACACATATGTATATCACCTAGAGGCAGAGTCCAATTTAAATTCAACAAATAAATTTTACATTTCTCACACAAAGAAAATATAGGATGCATGTCTCTCATTTTATATCATAATATAAAAAATACTGTAGCAAATATAGTAGGAAATCAAAGCATAGTCACATGCATAAGAAGTACTGGCACTCATAGGACACGTCAAAATCGAATGCCAAACTCAGACAAATGGCTCACTGATCGGTGCGAGTCTCCTCCGAAGTATCTGCAATAAATGGCACGTACGTCAGTAACGGAACCGAAATTTTCTTCTAAACAAATAATTCGAATTTATCAAAAACGGCCCGAGACTTAATCGCTCGCCTGGGCCCTCGACACGCAACCCGAGACCCTCCTCGGAACACCGCTAATTTACTCAACTTATACTCAAACTAATACTACATGGCATTATTGACGAGCTTCGTAAACCAAATGAACCGAATCCCAAAAACATGAACCGAGCTTGGACCGGATTTCTCGAACCTTATAATCAAACCAAACTAACCTTAATATATCAAAACTCGGACTAAAACCAACCAAAACCCTGTTGAACTGGGCCAAACCGAACTCATTTCTCATAAACCGAACCAAACCGAGCCAAACTGGCTCACAAACACCTAAACCGAGATAAACCGGTTTAACCCCTCTTAACTTATGAAGGACCGGCCCTTAACCATCGAGAATCGGACTGAATCGGTCCAAATTCCCGCGAAAACCCATTGAACTGGGGCCCTAAACCCCTGAACCGGCCTAATTTCCTAAAAAAAAACCGGCCGGTTTAACACTTTTTCCCTTTAAACCCCCTGAACTAGGATGGTTCAATGTCTGAAACCAACCCCAAAATATTCCTTTCCCCTCATTGAACCTGGAACCGGCTTGGTTCTCGGATTGGGGTTCAGAAAACCCCTGAACCGGCCGATTCCAGCCCAATAGGGCTGGACCGGACCGGTCAAAGGGCTGGTCAGACCCGGACATTGTTCGAGTCTCTTCCCTGTTACCCGAAAACCTGGGTGAACACCCGGTTCTGCCATTTCCCCAAACCCGAACGCCCCTGAGCTAAATTAAATAACCCCAATCACTTCCCCGAGCTTTTGCAGCTTCCGAAATCAATTTCCCATGATTTCCGAACACCAAAGCAATGTTTTAATCAGAAAGATTCAATCAATCACTCACATTTTTTCCAAATTTCTCGGCGGTGTGGCGATGCTTCCAGCTCTTTTTTCTTCCTTATTTCTTACTTAAAATTTCAATGGATCACTTTTCCAGAATCATCTCTTGTATATATATCAGGTTTTAAAATTAGTTTTAGCTGGAAGGCTCCTATTGGAGCAATTCCTCTTCTAGGTTGTTCGGCCGACTCTCGGCCAAACTTTTTTTTTTAATACAGATATTACATAATCATCTAAATAAATAACATGATTTTTCTTAATTATAGATTATTTTTATCAAATTACGAAATTATAAAATTGTTCATATTTTTAAAAAATCATAAATTTTGCCTAATCTTTTTTAATAACAAATTTGTTTTTACTAAATGATTAGAAAATAGTTAAAAATTGGACAAAAGGACTATATTGAAATAAAAATTAAACTTGAAAGATATGAATATTATATTTTTAATTTAAGAAACTAATGTGATACTCAATTTAAACTTAAAGGACCAGTAATAAGGTTAGACTTATCTAAAATATATTTTGAAATCTTGGGGAAAGACTAATTACTGAAAATTTGTATATAAACAAAATATTTTTCATATAATGAAACCTTAGTAACATTTTGGGGAAACAATTCCTCAAAATTTCCAAATAGAAGTCTACGGCCATTCTTTATGTATGGTGTCATTATCTTTTATTTTTGATAATTTGAAATTTATATGAATATTTTAAAAAAATTATAATTTGTTAAAAAAGTATTTCAATTAACTAATCAAATAAGACAAAATTTATATTAATTTTATTTTTTTTGAATTATAAAATTTTGATAGATTCATATTTATAAAGTCTTTTATAAATTAAAAATTTTAAATAATTAAATCAAATCTGAATTAAAATCTGTTCAATAGTAGTTATTATGTCAAGTTAGAAAAATGATTTTCCTTATTTTATAAGTTATTGACTTCAATTATCAGCTCCTTAAAGTTTTATTACAAATTCAACGCTTTTCTTCAAATACAGAATTACATAATTTACATCTCTTATTTTATGCTTACATTTTTTATGTTTCCCACTTGCAGAGCATCGCGTGAAATCCCAGCCACCTTCGTACGTTATACCCTAGATCCCACCGCGGTTTCGCAGTGAGGAAAACCCTGACCATCCGCCTAAGTTTAAAGACGTACAGTGAACAACCCTCTTACCTCCGCCAACACAGAGAGAGGGGGAGAGAGACAGAGATGGCTGAAGAACAAATACAGATCGACCTAGGGAATCTAATGGCTTTCGACCCTCAACACCACTTCCCATCTCTTCCCTCATCCAGGTTAGGCTGATTCGTGCACTTTGTGCCAAAATAGTTTTTTGAATTTTATTTTCATTCATGTAAAAAAATTTGCTGAAGTAATTGATTATTGGTTTGAAATTTGTGTTAATGCTACCATCTTCTCTGGTTTGTCCTTCTGTCACGACCAGTTGGTACGCTGCTCTGTTTTGGGCCATTGTTCATTGGCTGAAACAGGTGTGGCGTGACACTTCCATGTGAATATTACTTGGTTTTTAGCTCAAAAGCACCTATCCGATGCTCCGAATCTGATGAGATACATTCATATCTAAATGGGGAAACGGTAAAAACAAAAAAAAAATTACTTATTAATGTTAGGGTAGCATTTAAAACTGTCAACAATTTTTGCTTGCATTCTAAGAAATTCATACATATGCAGCCAAATTGAGAATGAAGTGTGAAGAAGTTTAGGTATTCTCTTGCCTGACCTTTTCAGAAGTTTCCTTCTGGAGCTACAGGATATTTTCTAAGAAAACTTTTCTGAGTAAGCTTTAGGAATTTGGGAAGTTACTGAACCAGTAATGCTAATGCATTTCTGCTTCAAATGGATATCAAAATGCAAGAGGATCTGAAACATTGGAGATCTAGGGGATGATTTACTTTATCAGGTTTGGGGACAAAATAATCTTGAAGCCTTGCTAGGAGATATACTATGGAAGTTTCCAGTTGCTGCTATGGCCTCATGGCATCCCTAAATGCGAGTTTCTGATTGAATGCAACAAGGCTGACATATAATTTCTTGCAGGGCATAGGGATAAAGTATCTTCTTAATTTTAGGCATCCACTTATGCTAAGAACGTTCCCATGGTATTTGCTTTGCTTCTTCTATTAAAAGAACAATCCCTTAGACATGTCATAATTCTGTTGAAACATTCTTAATTTTGGCATCTTCTTGAACATGAGTATTTGATATCTAGGTGACTGATTAAGCTCAATATTGTAAAAAAGCAAGAGTATGGCTGTCAACGGCCAAATATAGAGAGAAGATGCACTAAGATTTTTGTGAGATCTAATATGTGAGCTTTTGGTGATCATTTCCTGTACTACCAATGGAAAAATCTGAATGTGGCAGATTATTAGTGTACTACAATTGGAGACCTTACTGTGTATATGTTTCTTTTTAAATATTAGGGAGGAGCTAGTGAAGGAGTGCCTGGAAAAGGGCACAAAACTGGTTCAGGCTGTTGCAGATGCTCTGTTCAACTTGCCTTCAACTGAAGACCCAGATGGCCCAATTGTTACATTGCCTCCACCAAATACAAAATTGCCAAGAGAGAAGCCTGTATGCTGTTCCTTTTTATTATTTTATGTTCCTATGCCAACTTTTTAGCTTGCATTATTTTAGTCTCCAAATCAATATCCAAATGTCACTAGTTGAATGTTATTTTTTTCGTCTTGAATTAGAGAAGACAGCCTTATCAATTACATTCCTGTTTTCCTCTACTAAAACTTAAAATATTGTAGATTCCTTCTGCACATGTCTAATCTGTGTAAAAATCAATTGTAATTGACAATCAGGACTTAAGAAATGACATTTTCTTTTTTATTTATTTTTTCTAAATAAAAATTTCATGTTTTTCCCATGTTTCAGTCTGGTTTCTGCTCTTAGTTTGATTGGTTATCAACTAATCATGTTAACGTTCTTATAAAGATTGTTGCTATGTGATGCAAAGTGAGGGATGAAGACGAAATGGCAATTTTGGAAGGTCACTTGGGGGCATATTTAGGGTTTTGTACTGTCATGTTTGGGAACCATTTTCTCTTTCTTATTCTTCTCTCTACAAATGCTCTCAGGTTACTGTTCATGGCAAAGTAACAATACTTGCACAAGAACTTCTGCATCTTTCATAGCTTGGTATTGTTCATAGGGACAAGTTTAAAATCTCGGAGGCAAGAGTTCTATTCTTGTTAAATTTATGATTTCCTTCTTCAAGAAAAGCAAAATTTGAAAGTTTTCATACTTAAGTCAATCAAAAATTGAAAAGGTTGCCATCTTTCTTTCAATTATTCAGCAGTATGAGGAGGTCAGATAAAGCCAAAAGATCAGTCAAGATGCCCACACTAAAATCTTCAAAGAAAAATTTTGAGAAGTGGCTGGATTTTCGGTGCTTAATATGGATTTTCAAGACTTTCAAAGTACTCCAATTATTGAGTTTGTCATTCTAGACAAATTCGATGATTTGGAAGAAAAAGATTGTTTGTTGTGATAGGCTTAGGGTTATGGAAGGCGTTTAGCTAGCTTTGATGGTATAGAAGGGCATTGATGTGGATTATATATGCTGAAGAATTGTTTTATTTCTAATTATTGATTATGGCATTTGTTATGATAAACAAGTTTTCATATCAGATGCGATTTTAAATTTACTGTAGCAAATAATAGCCCTAGATAAGTGATGCAGCCCAGGAAATTTCCTGAATTCTGAAGCTTGATTGAGAGGGAAAATATGGAAATGAATTGGGTAGATATGTGGGATAAGGGGGTTTCTGTGGAAGGAGTCCACCTCCTTGGATAGAAATCTGATATGATCAGAATCCTATTTGTAAGTTAAAGAAAATACCAGAAGATATGTTGAAAATACTTTCTAAACTTTTACTGAAAATCTGAGGAAGAGTATATAGAGAATTCCTATTTGTAGACCCCACATGATGCTAATACTTACTGGACTCATTACTGGCTTCATTAATGACCTTGGACTAACTCTTTGACTATGTTGGACTGACTTTTTGGCCACTTTTAACTACTTAGATCCCTAGTTATGAAATTGGCATCTTCTAGGCATTGAATAATGACTCTAGATTGTTGAGTAGATAAACATTTATGATTTTAGATAATAGTTATGCTTCTGCATCAATTCTCTCGGCTTGGCCAGACCTTGTCTCTGACGAGTTAAAAGCTCGATATGCTTTGAATAGGTCTGGACTATTTCGTGCAAAATGACTTGTAGTAATCCACGTGCATTTTGAAATTGGTTTCCCCTTCCATTTGACAAGAAATTTCTTATAACTCCCTTGTCTTGTAAGGACATGTCGTACATCAAGAACATCTCCGATATCCTCACTTGTGACATTTGAGGAAGTCTAGGAATGGTTTGTTCTCTTCCATGAATATCTTCATTAGCTTCATAATATTGGCTGAGATCTTCCACATTAAAAATTGGAGTGATGCTGAGCTCTTGTGGCAGTTCTAGTAAGCAAACATGGCTGCCAAGGCGTTTCAAGACCTTGTATGGCCCAGTTTTCCTTGAATGGAGCTTCTGGTATGTACCCTTTGGAAAACGTTTTGGTCTTAACCTTATCATAATCTGGTCTCCCTCATAGAATTCCACATTTCTCCTACGCAAATCTGCATTAGCTTTGTATTTTTGATTGCTTACCTCAATCTTCTTTTGTATTTCCTCATGAAGGCTGTGGACGTGTCTAGCAGACTCCTCAGCTTCTTGGCTAGTTCTGGTTTTAATAGGTAGAGGTGCATGGTCAACAGGTTGTCGTGGCTTCAAACCTGTTACGATCTCAAATGGGGAGTAACCAGTGCGTCTGTTGACAGAGCTGTTATAGACAAATTCTGTGGTAGGTAGAACTAGGTCCATGATTGGACATTATCTTTTACTAGACATGTTAACAGATCACCCAGACTTCTATTTATAACTTCCATCTACCCATCAGTTCGTGGATAATAGGCACTAGAAAACTTCAGTTTGGTTCCCGTGAGTTTCCATGGAGTCTTGTAGAAGTAGTATACAAATTTAACATCACGACCTGAAACTATAGTGTTTGAAAGACCATGCAGCCTCACAACTTCACGAAAAATGAGTTGAGCAATTTTAGATGCATCTGGTGTTTTCTTACAAGGAATGAAGTGGACCATTTTAGAGAATCTGTCCACCAAAACAAAGATTGAATCAAAGCATCTTGGTGTCTTTGGAAGTCCTAGGACAAAGTCCATTGATGAGTCCTGCCAAGGTGCATTAGGGACCAGTATTGGAGTATGCAGACCAGAATTCTACTTTCTTCCTTTAGAAATCTGACATATACGACACTGGCATATAATTTCTCAACATCACGCCTTAGTCATGGCCAATAGAAATGGTCTTCCACCAAATTAGCTGTCTTGCCCCTTCCAAAATGTTCAGCAAGTCTTCTAGAATGCAGGTCCCATACAATAAAACCATGAATTGAGGTATTCAGCAAGCACAACCGATTTCCGTAGAAAAGATAACCATCTTTAATGGTGAAATCAGAATCCTTGTCAGCCTGGCTGGCTTGTAAGTTTGCATAAATTGGCCCAAAATATTCATCACGGGAATACTCCTTTAATTCTTCAAAACTAGTCACCTTTATTGTCATGACAGTGAGCAATGTAGCTTTTCTGCTGAGAGCATCTGCAGCCTTGTTTTCCACGCAACAACAATGTTTAATGACAAAGTTAAATTGCTGCAAATATGCACTCCATTAAGCATACCTAGTATTCATATGTTTTTGAGAATTGAGGTGCTTTAAGGCTTCATGATCTGAGTTAAGAACAAACTCCTTATATGAAAGATAGCATTTGCACTGCTTGGCAGCTTGAACAACAGCATAAAATTCAAGATCATAAGTAGAGCACCTCTTCTTTGTCTCATTCAATTTCTCACTGTAGAAGGCAGTAGGACCCTTCTTGACTCAGAATTGCACCAATACCTGTATGGGATGCATCACTAAACAACTCAAACACTTTGTCAAAATCTGGGAATCTAAGAGTTGGTGCTTCAGCCATCGGCTTCTTAATTTCTTTAAAAGCTTTATCTGCTGCATGCGACCATACAAAGCTTCTCCTTTTGAGATACTCAGTAATTGGTGTCATAATTGAGCTGAAATTACAAATAGCACGTCGATAAAAGCTAGCCAGCCCATGAAAACGTCTGACTTCACTTATGTTGACTGGGGTGGGCCAATCAAGTATAGCTTTCGCCTTCTCTGAATCACCGGCAATACACTTAGAGGAGACAATAAATTCCCAAGAAGTTCACTTGACTTGATTCTTAAAAAACTCGCACTTTTTAAAATTTATGTAGAGCTTTTCTGCCCTTAGAGTCTCCAAGACCTGTCTAAGGTGAGATAAATGCTCTTCTTTGCTGCAGCTATAGATGAGTATATCATCAAAATAGACAAGAACAAATTTTCCAATATATGGATGCAAAACGTGAGTCATTATCCTCATAAAAGTGCTGGGAGCATTTGTAAGCCTGAATGGTATTATTAGTCACTCGTAAAGCCCATCCTTCGTCTTAAATGCCATCTTCCATTTGTCTCCTGGTCGAATTCTGATTTGATGATAACTGCTTCTGAGATCAATTTTTGAGAACACCTTTGCTGCTTTCATCAAGTCAAGCATATCATCAAGTACTGGTACAGGAAACCAGTACTTGATTGTTTTTTATTATTGATTGCTCAACTATCAATACACATTCTCCAGCTACCATCCTTTTTGGGGATCAATAATGCTGGGATAGCGCATGGGCTTAAGCTTTCTTGAATAAAATGCTTAGACAAAAGGTCTTGCACCCAACTCCGAAGCTCTTCATGTCCTGCTGGGTTCATTCTGTATGCTGGCAAATTTTGAAGTGATGCTCCAGGTATGGGATCATTTGCATGCTGAATATCTCTCATAGGAGGAAGTCCTTTGGGCAATTCCTCCAGAATCAGATCCTGAAATTCTGATAATATCTGCTGCATGTCAGCTTCAAGTTGTTGGGGCTGGTCAATTTCTTGATTCTGTTTCACAACCAATGCATAGATGATGCTGCCTTCTCTCAAACTCTCCCCTTCAAACTGCTTCAATGACAATATGTTGACAGCCTTTGGTGCTGATTGTTTTGCTTGTGAGCCATCACTTTTCATTGGTAATAGCTTGATCTTCTCTCTGCAATAAGTGAAAGTATACATATTGGTCTTACCATCATGCAATGCCCTTCTATCATATTGCCATGGATGTCCCAGCATAATGTGTGCAACCTTCATTGGAATAACATCGCACCAAAGTGTCTCTTTATAACGATCACCAACTGATAATGTTACTAAACTTTGTTTACTGACTGGAAGGGATGTGTCATTGATCCAAGCAACCTTATATGGTTCTGGATGTTCTTGAGTTTTCAGCTTCTCTTTTTCTGCAAGAGCTTGGAAACAACATTGGCACAACTTCCGCTATCAATGATCAGCTTGACCACCTGATCTCCACACTTGACATTAGTGTGGAAAATACTGGTTTGTGGCCATTTGTCCTTTGTAGAGTCCTAAACTGCGAAAATGGATTGTAGAAACCGTTGTCACCTGTTCTACTCCTTCAATTTCTTCCACATCATCTTGCTCCAGAAGTGGTTGTTCTTCATGCTTGTGCAGATCAGCATCCTCACCTTCACAAATTCAGATTTTTGGTTGGACACATGGTAGCAAAATGGCCCCTTCCTCCACATTTAAAACACACATTATCTTGACCTTGCTTGCTGGAACTTTCTGCTACTTTAACGTCAGAATTTCTCGACATGACTTTTGTTGTATTTGACTGAATCTTTGTCTGCGGCTTGGCTGGAACTGTCTTCCTTGTTGAAACTCTCCTAGTTGTGTTCTGGAACACCTGCTTGATAGAAGCTTTAATTGGCTTTCAATTTTGAGAGCCATTTGGTAAACTTCATCAACATTAAAGAATTGAACCGTAGTCATTTCCTGCTGGATTTCAGAATTCAGCCCAGTTTTATAACGGGCCAGAAGATGATAATCTTCTTCATTAATTTAACAATGCATGGTCAAATTGTTGAACTTTTCTATATTGTTGCCTTGTTTTAGTCGCTGTAATTCTTTGATCAGTGATTCCTCATAGTCAAGAGGAATAAATCTTTCTTGGAACTTCAGCTTCATTTCCTTCCAATGGAGAACGGGAGCTTGGCCAAGTATGTTCATACATTTTTCAATGTTTTGCCACCACAATCGTGCCTACCCTTTCAACTTCGTCTTTGCAAAATGCACCTTCTTTTCTTCATTCATTTCGTACCAATCAAAATAGTCTTCTAAAGATGTTATCCAATCTGTAAAGGCTTGAGGATCTAACTTTCCAGAAAAATCTGGAACCTCAATTTTGATCCCTACAGGAATATCATTATGGTAACCCTCATAGCTGTCATGTTGCCTCCAAAATGGTCGGCAAGTGCTGTGAGATGGAGCCTATCAATATAACGGTGTTGGTTAATTGGCCCTAATCTTGGAGCCCTTCCTCTAGGTTCACTAACATTACTTTCTGCATCATGATTCTCATTTTGAGGTTCTTCATGGTTTTCGTTTTCACCATTACCAGCATCTTGATTGATTGTTGTTGCTCCCCTCCAAGTTTCTAAACTTGCAACTTGGTTAGGTAGGCTACAAATATCTTCTACAACCTGCAGCAGCAGGTCATCTCTTTCACGATCAGAGAGTCTGCCTCGGAATTCTCTTCCACTTCATGTTGCCATTGCAGCACAAGATAGTCCCTGGAAACCTGCTCTGATACCAAAACTGATGCAGCCCAATAAATTTCCTGAATTCTGAGGCTTGATTGAGAGGGAAAATATGGAAATGGGTTGGGTAGATATGTGGGATAAAGGGGTTTCTGTTGGAGGAGACCACTTCCTTGGATAGAAAACTGATATGATCAGAACTCTATTCCTAAGTTAAAGAAAATACGAGAAGATATGCTGAAAATACTTTATGAACTCTTACTGAAAATCCGAGGAAGAGTACGTAGAGAATTGCTATTTATAGACCCCACATGATGCTAAAACTTACTGGGCTCATTACTGGCTTCATTAATGACTTGGATTGACTCTTTGAATATCTTGGACTGACTTTTTGACCACTTTTAACTGCTTAGAACCCTAGTCACGAAATTGGCATCTTCTTGGCATTGAATAATGACTCTAGATTGTTGAGTAAATAAATATTTATGATTTTAAATAATAATTATGCTTCTGGATCAACAAGCTTCTAAACATTACTAGATTTCTTTGGATTCCATGGCTTCTTTTTGCAAGAACAATTTGTAAGTCATACTTCTAAATTTTTTGTTATCTGGAGTCAAGTTCTATTGTGCTAAACCATGATGCCTCATGAAATTAGACAAGCTGAACATGTTGTGGAGCTGCTAGTAGAATTTGTCTTTTGTAAATGAGTCATACCTTTGCATGTGATGGAATACTATGAACTTTAAAGGCTAGCTGAACCATTGGGGGTCAAGCAGTTAAGCTGGTGCTTCTTTAGTTATTTTCAGAGCTCTGTCCTTTCAGCAGCTTGATTTGTCAAAAGATGATTTGTTAGAACTGCGAAACAAATGTCCTACACTTGGATATTCATGGATTGTGTACATGTTGCATGCTTTAGGACATCTGCAGTAATCCTACTTGGATGCAAGCATTTTATTTTCCTGTTGGGAGCTTGATGTATCTCAAGCAGCTTTTCTATTTTATTTTTTATCTTTTTACATATGGGATGCAAAATGCGTATACTTTGTTCAGAAAATATATATGTATTCATGAAGTTCACAGCTATGGCATTTAGGAATAGCATAAAATGATAATAAAGCTATATCAATCATTATAAATTTACTAATATTACAGGGTTGATTTCTTATCTCAAAATTTTCTTGTTTCAGCTGCCCAAGAAAAAGCCTCCAACAAAATGGGAGCTGTTTGCCAAAAGGAAAGGTTAGTTTACAAAAATCTTGGCTACCTCCATCAGCTATAAAAAATTGTTATTACCAAAATATTTCCAGTCAAGCTTCAGAGCAAGGGTGATGATTCTGAGACTGTACTTAAATGCTGCCACAAGTTCTTATGTTTGATAACTTTTAAATCTATTGCAGGTATAGTAAAGCGCAAAAAGGACAAGCTTGTGTATGATGAGAAAACTGGTTCTTGGAAGCGCCGCCATGGTTATGATCGCGTAAATGATGATAAAGATATACCCATCATCGACGCAAAGGCAACTGATGGTAAATGTTCAAAGTTGCATCATTACTTATTTCCATCAAGCTATCAATGCCTTTTATTTTTGTTCATTTCAGGACACTTTAATGTCGAAAGATTAATATTGTTGAATAATGTATATTGTAAAATTCTTTCTGCAAGAGCTGCAAATTATCATTTAGCCACCTGCATTATCTGTCTTTGACAACCTAACCTCTCATCCTTTTGAATGAGACAAACGCTCACTTGTCATGCTCTATGAATAGCTTTTAATAGTCACCTTGGAACTTCCTTCAGAGCCAGGTGAAGATCCTTTTGCCAAGAGACAAGCAGAAAAGAAAAAGAGAGTAGAAAAGCAAGAGAAGAATCAGTTGCAGAATTTGAAACAAGCTGCAAAAGTTGGGGCTCTACCAAGGTTTTAAATCTTGCCATTTTTCTAAGTGGGTGGAAATTAATTTTGATCATGTTTTCCTTTTTCTGACTTCTTTTGATGGTTGCTTGAGTTGCATTATATTTGATTATGGACAAATATCCGTTTTTATGCTCGTCTGTAAAGAGTTCTTCTCTACTGGAAACATCTTTAGCTTATTGCCTTAATGAGTGTGCCATCATCCTATTGGACTTTGATGATGCCTTTTCTTGAACTTTATCTATTTGCTTCTGGGGATTTATGGCAAAGAGAGACGCTCATGTGGAAGGTTTTGAAATTTTCTTAGGCCTGTGGAACTCTTTGAATAGTATGACCATCTTTAATTCATGAACAAGTTGTATAGTTGGCTAAGAACTTGGTCAAGATCACTATGTAAGATGATACACAAATCTTTTTGTTGTCTTTTTTGCTTTCCCTGCCTGGAGCAAATTTTAAGAGTTCATTTTATCTCTCCCATCAAAAGACAATGAATCTAGGAACACACCATACTCTGAATTGACGACATTAATGCATTTGCAAACTTAATCTTTTTAATAGCATAACTTTTTGTTAACAACGACCTTGTTGGCTAATTACGTGATGCTTTTGGGGTGGTCGGCTAACCCTTGCTTGAGAATGTCCCACCATTTAGGATGACAAGTTAGTTGAAGAGTTATTTTATGTGGTCTGGAATAGGGAGGCCTTATTAGATGGAAAAGTTTTTAAGATTATTTTACTGTTGCCAAAAATAAAAAAATGTTGAGGGTCCTTCACTGAGACTATTGAAGCATGAGTCTTCTGGTGTATGTGGAAAGAGTGTTTTAAACTTTGAGTAGTTCCTTTCATTTGAAGGGTCGCTAGCTTGCTGAAATGAAAGCATCTTTTCTTCTACATCTGAATAAGGTTTTATCTGCAGCCACATTCAGCTTGCTGCTACATCTCTGCCCATAACTGGAACTCAAGCTGTGCCTAAGAAAGTAAGTAAAAATGAACTTGAAAATGTAGCTGGAATGGCAGCAACCTCAACAGCCAGCGGTGGGAAATTTGATAAGAAGCTCCGGGGTGAAAAGCCTGCGAAGCACGAAGGGAAATACCGCAAGGTCTCTACTTTTCCCTCTGTTCCTGATTTTGTTAAAACTTAATTACTTCACTAACAACATAATTGTTTCCATGTTATTTGTTTTCAGTTCCTACCTGTAGTGGAAGGATCAGGAATGGGCTCACTAGAAAAGCAGCAAACTGATAAAGTTCTTAATAAGTTAATCTCCAAGAATTCCCACGAGATACTAAATGTGGAAAAGGTATACATGAGCCATTTTGCTATACTACTATCAGTTTCTGCTGATTCAGGCCTAGGCTTGTTCAAGCCTTTGGGTGAACATATTCATTGCTTGATTTATATTTGTTTGTTGGAACCTAGGCCGTAAATATGTATAATGTGAAGAAGGATAAAAAGCGAAAGAACCAACAAGGAAGTCCTCATCCTCAGGGAAGTTGAAACCGAAGGGGAAACCTCACAAGAAAACATCTAAAAAGGGATCCTTGGGTAAAGGAAAATCAAAATGAAATTCATGTTATGAGGTTTTTAATTCGTGAATTTTCTTAGTTGCTAACGCAGTGTTACTTTTCAAGGAGCCGTTGTTTTCGTTATAGTAGTAAGGTTGTTGCTTATTTCTTTTGAGAGGAAAAACTTTACCATCCATTGTATTAGTGTCTCTCTCTGATTCTCTCTCTCTTTTTTCCCCCCCTTGTACCCCATGTTGTATAAAATATGAGCGGAAGAAGCTTGGGGAAACCTTACAAATTTCATGGCAAGGATCTGATTACGCTCTATACTAACTGATGTTGTAGTGCTGTGATCTGCTCAGTTATTTGATTAACGAGGAGATTTCTACATAGGTCTGATTGCGCCCTATACTAACTGATGTTGTAGTGCTGTGATCTGCTCAGTTATTTGATTAACGAGGAGATTTCTACATAGGTCTGATTGCGCCTAATACTAACTGATATTGTAGTGCTGTGATCTGCCTTAGTTATTTGATTGACGAGGAGATTTCTACCTAGGATTATGGAAAGGTAACTGTCATTGATCTGTTAATTCTAGGAGCCATTCTAGTGGCTCGCTCTCTCTCTCTCTCTCTCTCTCTCTCTCATTACGGGTTCAAGACAAGGTTACAAAAACATGCTTATCACTTGGTTGTGGATATTATGGTTGGACGTTGGACATAAAGACGTTGCACATAAAATCAACTGTTTGACTTTGTGCAAAACAAAGGATAAAGCTGAACATGATCTCCCACTGAGGTGTTGCCAGGAAAATATTTTTAACCATCACTTTGTCTCATCCAATGGTGGTTGGGTGTACTGTCCTCGTACATGGATATCCACCATCAACAAAACCATCTCGGTTTTGTTGGACCGAGTTTCGATGTTGAGGAAAGGTGCTTGCCGGCATGTGAAATACCGATTTTATCCTCTAGCTAGCGCATCTAAAAGTTGACTAAGAGTAAACCTCTTTTGACAAACTGCATAGCTTCTGGCTTTTTAAGAGTAGTCCTGCCTGCTGCTATAATATTAGAAGGTCATTCGTTAAAAATTCAAAAAATGAATTATTTGCCAAATAAATAAAATCAATGAAGTCGCCCCCAGCTGAAAGTTTTACAGTCCTTTTCTGCCAGTACTAGAAAACTTTTCTATTTTTTGTATTTAATATAATTTAGTTAAAAATTTATAAGCATTAAATTTATTTTTATTTTTAATAAATTATTAATAATTAAAATAAATTAATATCAAACAGTTTAACAAGAATTAAGTCACACTTAAATACTGTTACCGTCCTTAATATTATTCTTCTAGTTATTATCAAGCAGCCAAAATGTTTTATTATGTTATTCATTGCCCAACCTAGTTTAAAATTTTTTATTTAATAATTTATAATCATTCTTATTATAAATCCTTAAGGTTTTTATTTGTTTATTTATCTTTTGTTTTGGAGAATTATGAGTTACTTACAATAGTAGTTAATTTGTAATGACTCGAGTATTATGAAATTTAATAGTTTGTTGAGTACGAATTATTAATTTGAAATATTTAAATTTAAGTTATTTAATAGTAATTTTAAATTTTTTATATATTATATGATGTCTTACTCAGAAAAATCGATATAAAATAGGATATTATAATCCTACGTGCTTAAATATTGGATGTATTATTAAATTAAAGATTTATATTCGTATCTAAATAAAATATGTTTAAAAAATTATTTTTGTTTTTATACCATTTGTGACAAGTCAAGAATTACTAATTTTATTAACTTGTTAAATTTAATATATTAATTTAAAATATTTAAATTTAAATTATTTAATAATAGACTATAATATTTTAGACTTACATTTTTATATAAGAGAGAATTAATTGATACCGAATGTAAGTCTAAAAAAATTTATACTAAATTTTATACTGTTAATTTTGTCAAAATAAATGGATGAGATTTGGTATAAGTTTTTACAATAACTTTTAATAATTAATTTGTAATTAATTAATTTTATTCGTTAATTTTAACTAAATTAACGGTATAAAATTTTATATAAACTTTTTATATTTATATTGGTGTGAATTTATTTCTCCTATTTTTATATAAGATGTTACATCACACCTATAAACCTAACGGGATAACACATGGCACAATCCTTTCTTCGATTATTAATGGGCACGAGGGAATGATTCGTGCTTATGTAAACTTAAGTTTAACTTTTTTATAAATAAAATAATTTTTAATTTAAATAATAAAATATTTATATGATTTAAACATTAAATTCAATATAGTTTTTCCACAATTAGCCATCCTAATTTCCATTATATTTTTAATAATGTCGAATAAGAGTAATAGATAAAAACACGACTCTCCTCACTCTGATATATATATATTATATTCTCTCTCTCTCTCTCTCTCTCTCTCTCTCTCTCTCTTTTGGGTAGGGTCTCTCTCTGATATTTCTAACTTCAACCAGTCATCTTATAAAAAAATGACGAAGAAAATTTGAAATCGCTTTTTAATTACCGCAAATTCAAGGATTTTGTTACGTACCGCACGTGACAGCGCCGCTTATCCTACTGCCACGTCCAATGTGGTCCCAGGTTGGCCCACTGCCTGTAGATGGACCCCGAAACGAACTGAAAAGTAAGCATTATCGCCACGTCATCGAACGTGCGCGTACACCTTCCTTAGCGTGCGCTGTCGGTGCACACAATCTCAATAAAAATCCAAAACCAAAGTGATATCAGATTACATGATTACCGTTCTTGTCCCAATCGTCTCCATCCTCGATCGGAGCAAACCCTCCCCCCTGGCCCTCTCTCTATCTCTCCACCCTCTCTCTCTACCAGCGCACACAAATAAATGTGCAGGACAACATGTAGTCGCTTTCTGATTTCTGGTGTACTCCTCTGACATTTTGTTTGTTTCATGGCTGAGACATTTTGTTTGTTACATGGCTGAGAGCAAGGACCAAGATTTGGAGCAGGGGAAGAGGAAGAAGAGGAGCAGAATCAAGCAAATTGAGTCGACTCGGTCGGGCGATGAGGGAGATGACGAAGGGAGGACGTTGATAGGAGGAGGGAAGTCATGGAGACGACGGGGAAGAAGAGGAAGAGGTTGAAAAGCGAGGAGGAAGGTGAGGGGGGTCTGCTTCAAGATCCTCTTATGGTGTTTGGCACAGATATCATGATGATGATACTGAGCTATCTCGACGCACGCAGCGTGGCACTATCGCTCCTTGTCTCTCGCGGATGGCACGGGGTTGCTTCCAGCGATAGGCTGTGGACCAGCAAGGTTTGCTTTGAGTAATGAAAGTGAATTTTGTTTTGCTTCTTGTTTCATATTGGGAATTAGAGTGTATTTCGCAATTAAAATTTGAATTTTGTCCCTGCTTGATTTGTAATGCTTGTGGTGTATCAATTTAGTTTGTGAGCGTTTGTCTGTATTCGACTTGTAGAGGGTTTGGGTAGATGAGCTTCTCTGTTTTATTTTGCTTGTATTTTAGTTTCTCTGCGTTGCCTTTGGTGCGTTATTTGGATGCTGATTCAGGGACACGTTAGAGCTAAGTACGAACTTTGCATCACCTTAGTCTTTGTGAATTTGGTATTGGTTACCAGTTTCTCATGGGCCTTCATCAATTCTTTTTCGGGTTTTATTTTTAATTTTTTACTTGAGTTTGACTCTAGCCTGCTGGAGGATGTTACTTGGCTTTTGTTGTTGGTGTTCTTATTGTTTTTTTCTTTCCCCTCTAAAATTGCGTTCAGCTGCTTTGTCAATTTTCTGTTCGTCAGGGCTGCAATTTAGACATATATTGTAACGCCTCATTGTGGATTCTTTTAGGCGTTCTTCTTAGCTAGTGGCAAATTTTCACTTCTTGCGATGACCGAGGACTATTTAGCAATTTTCTAGCAATCAATATGCTACTTTGCGTTGCCTGTAGGGCTTGGAATTCTTGTGAGTTTTCTGCTGGTAATGCTAATGCCTGCTGAGTCTTTTGTTTCTGTGATTTCTTCTCTGGTGACTAGTTTTTCCTGGCTGCTACGAAATTCAAACCTAATTGAAGCTTCTTTGAGCTTAGTTTCTGTGCTGCCTAGAATGGAGGTTTATGCTGGATCCTTTCGGAGGTATGGCAGGCACTGACTTGTTGCCAAATCGCTGGAAGGGGGTAGCTGGAATCAAACGTGATTTCAACCCAAAGGGGCTTGGAGATGAAAATGGGCAACTCTATTCTCTCTTGTGATAAGATAGTTAGGTCATTGAGGTCGACTCATGCAAGTGTGCCAGAGGATGCCTGAGAGAGCAAAGGGGTGTTTTTCTTTTCTTGGGTAGACTGTCTCAAAATAATAATTGTTCCAGTGTCCTTAGAGGCGTGCATGCCTCCCTAGCAGATAAGTATGGATGGGACACCATGAAAAGTCCTTAAAGGTAGCTGCTGAGCCATTCAATATCAAGATGTGGTCCGAGGATCACAATGTAATGTCTGGGGACTCTGCTGAAAGTTATCAACTTTGAGGATTCTGTAGGATCTGTTCTCAAAGTTAGGTCACCTTGGGAGCATCAAGATGCCATTGGAGAACAGAGGTTTGAGGCTAAGATCACATTTGGGACCCAGAAAAGGTGGGTTATTTTTGCCCTTGTTTTTCATTAGCTGGGTCAAATTAGCCAAACAAGAGTATACTTCAGATAGGTTTTAGAATCTAAAATTACCATGCTTAAGATATTGGCTTATGAAGGAATGAGCCGGAGAAGGCATTAAGGAGGATAGAGTGGAACAGTACTACCAGCTGGAATAACTAATGACAAAGATGTTATAGGAAGTAAAGGTTTTAGAGATAAGAAATGAGATAAATATTATTGAATAGTAACTTGCTTTTAAGATAAGGTAATGGTACTATTGGCAGTGTATCATATGTTTCAGTGAACTTGAGAAATAGTACAATCATGGTTGTTAAAAGCACGGT